ATTGTCGAGGGTTCACGATGAGCTAATTAATTACGAGTTGATGTATGTACGATTCGCTTAACGGGAAGCTAGCTAGCTTTGTCCTTCGTTATTTTTCAGCCACACACACACCGGGTTTTCCACCGTGACGTTATTTAAGGTTTTCGTAAAAGTATTAATGTCCGATGTGAATCTACTGAAGTTAAATGGTATGTTCGAAATTTATAAATATTCCTGGTCAAATATCAGAAGTTTCCGATTGATAAGCGTTATAACAATCACAGTTATAGCTTCCGAAGTTTATAGCACACTGACTATAACAAACTAATAATAGATACTCTCCTTTTCGCGCGTCGGTTATAATTATAGGCGTGTGGAGGTTTTCTAGAAATTTCAGTTTTACGTAACAATACTGGCGCTAACACAAGCGTTTACGTACACACATATTGTTGACTCTTACTCTCGAGAATCTTCTAAAACTTTGGAGAATAGGCGGAAGTTTCGCAATACATATTTAACAGTATAAGTCATGTATATTTCTAAATATAAATTTAATCCAAACAAACATTGATATTAAAATAAATATATAATAACAAATTCGTTACAAAGTGCCCTCCTCACAAGAAGAACACGACTTTCACTAGGACTGTATGTGAGTTTTGTTTCAAGCTAATCCCAAAGCTACACAATGAGCTATATGTTTCTAGCATTCTAAGTCCGCAGACATGCCGCTGTGCTACTGGGGGGGCATGTACGTGAGGGTTTGATTATGTCTGAAATTTTTAAAAAACTATTATTTTTTTAAATAAACGGTACCACTTTAAATATATAAAAACATTAGACTTTATATCAGTAAAATTTATGAAAATTTTGAGTTCTGTACATTGAATAATTTTGATGCAATGAGTTGCGTATGACTAAAGAGCACAATCCGAAAACTTTTCCCATGCAGTACTTCCCAGAAAAAGAAATCGTATTTTAGAAATTTTAACTTTTTTCTATTTTCTTTCAATGAGATATAAATACTACGATTAGTTAGCGTAAACAGCCGACCAAGGGGAGTATTTCTGCTACTTTACATAAAGGTGTGAGAGGATAGTTTCATAATTTAACTTACGGAAATCAAAAAGGTAAAGAGATGTGGCAGGACTTTTATTAATCTTGGGATTATGTGTCTTAATTAGCAAAGCTTCCGCTATCTTTCTTTTGTTTGTATTAGGTTCGTGTTGTAATACTTAAACATTGTGAACTGAAGATGTGAGGTAATTGAATTGAATATAATAATAATGTTCGTGTGAATGTGTGTGTGTGTGTGGGGGGGGGTGTATTCTTTTATTCGAGTGTCTAATTTACGTCCAGTTTCATCTATATAAAAATCAAAACAGTCAGCACATTATGTTTTGTATATGGTTCCTGGTTGTGGAGATGCATCATATATTTTTCTTAATATTTGTTTAAGGAATGAAAATTAATCTGGTATGGATATTTATGTTATATTTGTTTATTAATATTTGCTATATTTCTTGAAGGGGAGTGCTTATGTTATCAATGAATGGAATTGTGCCAGTAATTATTTTATAACATTGTTTTTGTGTATTGCTGTTTTCTAGGGTGTTAAGTTGATCAGGGTTATAATTTAATTTGTTATGAAACTGACTTATAAAACCTTCGGATGTAGTCACTGCTGCAAAATAGTGTAGGCCGAATGGAGTAGAGCTTTTAGTGTGCCTAAGTTTTGGTGTATTGTGTGACTAGAAAGCCAGTTAACGAAGTTTTCACTATATATATCTTTTCTGTAAACCTTTGTGCTGAAACCATCGAATTATCTGGTGATTGTAACATTTACAAAGTTAATTATGGAATTATTTTCGTTATATATATAGTAGATTTAATGTCTCTATGTATGTTGTTCAAGTATTGTAAGAATTGTGTTTGTTCTTCGTTGAAAGTGAAACTACAGTAAATGTCGTCAACATTTCTTAGCTATTACATTGATTTGTGAAAGATTTGTTTATTGCTTGTTGTTCGATTTTCTTCAGAAAATAGTGGCTAGGTTTCCGGATAGAGGGTTTCCCATACTTAGTCCGTGCACATGTACTTTAATTAATAAAGTATGATACGTAATATTGGAAACAAACTGTTGTGGAAGCTTAATTAACATTTTGGTTTGTATATTGATTATCCTATTAAGATTCTGTGAAATAATGTCTGTTGTTTGTTTTATAGCTTCATGACTGGGAGTTTGCGAAAACAGGTTAACGACCTCAAGGCTGTGCATTGTTGATTTCGTGTCTAGTCTGTGTAAATGATTGATAAATGTGTTGTTTTTTCAGTTCTGTGTTTATTTTTGAAGTGTAGGGTCCAAAAACCTAATATAAACAAAAGGAAAGTAGCAGAAGCTTTGCTAATTCAAGCAAGTAATCCCTAAATTAATAAAAATACAGGCAAATCTCTTTACCTTTTTTTACATCTGTAAGTTAACTTACGAGACTAATTATCTCTTCACACTTTTATGTAAATAACTACATCCCTTGTATTTAAGCGTACTATTACCAACTTCGTATATGATTTTTCGATTCGTTTAATAACAGCACATTTTTCACTGTTAATTTTATACACCTGCCTAGTCTATCTTCTTATTAGTGCCATTGTGATACTCCAATTTCATTTGTTCTGTGTTTATACTCGAAAATAAACGCATTAATGATCAAAATGTTGTACTTATTCTAATATAAAAACATTTCCAAATAACCACTGTAAACTGTCATCGAATTTTAACATTACTATTTGATGAGAAAAACTTGTCCTTGTATTACATTGAAAAATGTTTCATACCGCATGATGCGCTCTCGGCCAATCACGCCAAAGAATTCATGCTAGGGGGTTGAATAATATGTATTGTAATTTGGAAGAAGTAATTCAGTAATTTTAGGTGTATTTTGCGCACAAAAGCTTAAATCTTGATATAATAGATAAAAGTATATAATCACTAAAATTGTTAAGTTCTAACACTGGTAAATGTCGGGTCACCTTGGAAGATACGCGCTTATCTTAAAGAGTAAATTCTGGTGGAATGACGCCAACTGCGCGTCATCATGATGATAATATCTTACTTAATTCAAAATTAATAATGAAAGCTGTTGAAACATTTTGAAATCCCTGTTCAATGTGCCAAAGTGGAAATACAGTTTGGTCATAATGATAAAGAAAGAAAAGTATGAAAATCAAATATTTAAGTACGAAATTTATTTCTGCAAAATAAACCAGAATGTACATTATTTATAATTTCTTATTGACATTTCAAATATGAGTTGAACATTGTTTTTCATCATGTCTCTGTTTATCTTATCTTCTTTTTTTTCGCAAAAAAGTAGTTCTTCTATATATATTTATATCGCGAAGTGTTCTTTGCCTATTTTATATGTAACAAACATTTCTGATTAATTATAGTTGTTTTTCATTTGAATTATCTTTGATGTATTTGTTGTTTTTTAACTTTTAACATCTTACTATTTGAATTAAGTTCATACTATTTCAAAATAACGGTTTTGGTATTTATAGCATTTTCTAGAATCTGGAGGTGTTTTGGTAGCATATTTTCGGTCGTTATTTTTTTTTTTTTGCACTTTCACAAATAAACTTTTCCTTCACAACATATTTGAGTCTGATATTCTTAAATGGATTCTGTTTTTGACTTAAAGGTTTGTTTCTGAGTAGGAGACTTGGATTTCGGTTTGTGTTTTGCATTGATAACTTCTACATCAAATTTATCATTAGAAAAAATACTTGCTATAAGTTTTAAATGTTGACATGTTTTTAATTAAATATGTCCCGGGGGCCTCAGGTTGGCCAGAATAGAGGAATAAACATATAATGAAAATGTTTGAATGTGAAATGTGGTCATGTGTTCAAACTGTAATAATTTGCTTTCATCAAGGACTTTATATTGTTTTTACTTGGACTAAGCCGGGATTGGAAATTGGAAATAAATTTTATTTTTTATATATACTAATGTTTGTATATAGAATTATCCAATTTTAAGTTTCATCAAAATTCAAAGTTAGAGAGAAATCAATATTCTTAAGTATATAGCTTTGTGTGTGATCAATACAAGGATGAACTGGTCAAATGAATATACTAATTATATTAATAATGTATTTTTTATTACAGGAGTGTTCTTAAATATCTATATTTCATCAATTTACGCTATACCTATGCCCTTATTTTCGAAGTGGAGGTTTGGAACGAAACTCGTTCTGTTATTTGTTTTAAACTTTAAGGCTATGTTTTTATATTATTTTCAAATTAATTTGCCAGATCAAAGTAAAGATTCACATTAGACATTGTTCACACTTAATAAAGTATTTTGTCGTTCAGAAACATTTTGATATAGATGTTACTATGGGTAATTAAAATTCCAATGAAACGTAATTAGAAGACTTCATTCCTATGATTAAATAGTTGTAACAACGAACCCAGCACTGGAAAGAAAGCCTTCGATATGTAAAGACGAAAATGAAATTCTACTTAACATAACCATTCTGTAAAAGAACTTACTGAATTTTAAATGACTGAATTAGGGCTGTCAAAAAGGGGGAAATTGCAAAGATAATCAATATAAAAATTGTGATAGAATGTTGACTCACCAATGGGGCAAAAAGCATTCAAAACATAAAAACATGTGATAGTGGTTCCCATGCTGAAGAATACGTTGGGCATCACGTATAAAATAACTTGTTTTAATTATATCTACAAAGCTACATAAAATTGAAGAGTTAAAAACTTCTGTTAGTGTCTCAACTTTTCAACACATGATTGCCTTACTGAACTTGCATTATCTCCGTTAATTCGTAACCCTAAAGTTACATGAACTTATTGCATGGCTTGCGTTTTAGATAATATATATTAATCAGATAACTTAAAACAATATAGACTGACTAAATAAAATGCTCGCATTTTTTAACTGCCTGGAATGATTAGTAGAGTAGTGGTTGGTGATGTTACGTTCTGTCCTTCTATAGCTTCCGAGCCCAACCTTAAAGTCCGTTCTGTGTTGAAGCAAAAAGTAATAGAGAGACGCAGTAGCCCTTTATTAAGATGCAAAGACAAAGGGGCGACTCCTGTGAAGAGGAGACCATCTGTTGCAAGTACGGTGTTTTTTGTTGTTGTTTTTCCTTGTGTCATGTGCATGTCAAGTTTGATATGATCGGTTGTTGTTGATGTTGTTTTCAGCTCAAACGATGTGTATATAACATAGCATGTTAACCATACTTAAGCATGCAGGTGCTGGATTTTGAATTTATTTACTATTATTAACACAGTAATCTTACAAAGATACTTAAAACTTAAAAGATACTTAATAAATTATGTGATATTCATGTATTTCTGGAAAATGTTTAGGTAGTATTGTTTTTTTGTACAGGAAGTTAACTTTTGTTTAAATAATATTCACAACCATTGTATCTAGTATTACAAACTTATACAGTGATCGATTAAAATTGTATTAATATTCACGATTGTAATATAATGCATTTTACCTGTTGTAAAATTTTTCAATATAGAGGTTGTTATAGTCCAAACGCTTTCCCCCAGTGACTCAGCGGTAATTCTAAGGGCTTCTCATGCTAAAATTCGGATTTCGATACCCACGGTTGGCAGAGCACAGATAGCCCATTGTGTAGCTCTGCGCTTAACAATAAACAGAAAAGTATTCTCAACTGCCACCTCATGCGAAAACAATATCTATAATAATTTTGTAGAGATATATAATGTGACTTTGCGAAGAATTTTCGCCTAAATCTGAGAAAAATAAAACATAAATTTTCGGTCACTTATTTACTTCGTCTTCACATAGTTATCTGTATTGTTTGAATTTCATTTATGTTTCTAATCAAGAATGTCTTAACACATGGAGATAGCAGGAGATGTTTTTCTTGACATTAAAATTGTTGGTTGTTTTATTACAGTAGATGGAAGTAGTAGTAAATCTGATTCTGGACCAGGATCGCCGCCAGAGGGAGCTAGTATCCATTCCCTCCACTCTAGTAATGGCAGTACTCCAATACAAGAGGTAAGACTATGGATAAAGACGGAAATGTGTTTACTTATATTATTCTTTATATTTATTTTAGATAAATTGTAACTATGAGTTTATTAAAATAACTTTGTTACATATATTATCAATCAGCATTGTAAAGTTATTCATATATAAATATATGTGTAATCTACTACGTAATAAAAATCAGATATTTAGATGAAATCTCGCACTGTTTGTTGCATATATGATCAGTCATCAATGTAATTCGTCAAAAACGAAATACGTTTTATTGTTCTAACAAATGCGTTTTGATTATAGCAGTTAAGCGATTCAACATAGATTAAACGTATATCTATTTCAGTATATTTTAAAAATTTGCTATTCAACGTAATTTAGATCCCTATCTGAACATCGCTGTTCCAGAGTGTTATGCACGTGAGGAAAGATTATATAGAATCTCATGCATTAAAAAGTACATAATAAGTGTGCATTTCAACTTAGTTACATTCGTTGTGTAACGTTATTGCATCGACAAGTTTAACAAGTTCTAAACATATAAACACGGAAATAGATAGTCATGTATACAATACAGAACGATTAATTGAAAATGCAGCTTCCAGTAGTATTGAAAATTGTTTCAGATGTATATACAAATCAGCTTATGTGAGTTGACAATACAGAGTAAGTTCCATTTAACAATAATATTGCAAAAATGCATGCGTTTTTTTATAAAGATAACTTACTTGTTATATTAGAATTTGAATATATACACTTCAACATCATTACGTTACTGTGAATGACTTTGCACTTTTAACGTTGCTAAACATGAAAGTCATGAGAGCCATTTCTGATATATCAAATGTTGTACTTTTATATACGTTTATACGTATATTACTTGACATATTTGTTGTATATAATTTGATGCATTCGATTTACTTGTTTATCGCAAGTTACAGGATATACAATATACCGATTTAACAAAGGATCTGTCTTTAGCATTACTAAATATGAAAATCACGAGAGATCCTCTACATGTCAGTGATGTATCAGATGTTACAATTTTACTTTTAATAGTCAATACGCATTTTGCAAAACGAAAAAAATTATACATTTCGATACTCTTTTATTTCGGCTTTTCGGGTGATATTATTTGACTGTCAACAATTCGTTACAAACAAAACAAAATGTAAAAATTTAAAAAGGTTATTCTAAACGAGTCATAGCTAGGAATCTGAAAAACAACAACAAATGTTTGGCAATTCAGGACTGTAGTTGTAGAAGGGAACACTATTGACTTTCCGGTTTACATAAATAGGGTAATTATAAAGAAAAAAAACATATTCAAAATTATTATATCGCAAATACTATTTGTCCAAGGGGAATAAAACCTCATGAGAAGTACGTTGACTGTCATAACAATTTATTCGGGAAAGTCTGGATATCGCACAGGTTGTTTCAAACCATGTTACACTGAATACCTAAGTTGTTGTACTCGTAACTTAGGAATGTTTCATTTTTCATCAACTCGCTCTCAGCAGTAGGTGAGGGGTGATTTGCATAAAATGCATGTTATGTGAAGACTGTCCAAAACAGATAATGCCTGGAGTATCTTTTTATTTTTATTAAAATTGGCTAAAATGGTATTAAACACCTGTAACATTTTCTGAAACATCTTGTACCAGTACAAACCATTTCTGAATACAGTTTATAATGCCTGGAGTAGCTTTTTATTTTTATTAAAATTGGCTAAAATGGTATTAAACACCTGTACCATTTTCTGAAACATCTTGTACCAGTACAAACCATTTCTGAATACAGTTTATAATGCCTGGAGTAGCTTTTTATTTTTATTAAAATTGGCTAAAATGGTATTAAACACCTGAAACATTTTCTGAAACATATTGTACCAGTACAAACCATTTCTGAATACAGTTTATAATGCCTGGAGTAGCTTTTTATTTTTATTAAAATTGGCTAAAATGGTATTAAACACCTGTAACATTTTCTGAAACATATTGTACCAGTACAAACCATTTCTGAATACAGTTTATGATTCTCAATGTTCCTACCACAAGTAGTTTTTAAGATTTAACCATTCTAAGTACGTGGCTGTTTTCTATGATCAATCTGTCAGTACGTATGAGTATGTGTCTGTGTGTCAGTAGTGACGAAAACCTGGCACATTACAAACATGTGCAATTTCCGTGTGGAAAAACACTTGTCCAAATGGGTTTCTAAGAGCTCATTTTAATGGTTATTTTTTATTTTCGGTTTTTCTGTTCGCTCAAACATTCATAAAAAAGTGGGTTGCAACGTCAAGTAAGTCAAAACTTTTTAGCTATGTAGATCAGTGTTTAGAAAAATAGTTGTATACGGGAAAATTTAGGTTTCTAACAGATAATTAAGGCAAACTGGGCAGGCTTCTTTCCGTAATAACAATTATATTTATCCAGTATGACAGCTTTCATAGGTTTCATATAAATGTTTAGGCTTTCGCAAGTGTTATCTCATACTCACGAAGTTAATTTCCAGTACCAGTTGATCAAATCAATTTTCAATTCCAAAACATTTCTGTGAATATTAAAGGACATGCATTTTGCAATAAATCGACACTTCAGGACCAAAAAGTTTTGTTCATGTTTCAAGCGATGTTATGTCCTTTACCAATACACTCCGAGTTTCGATACCCGTGGTAGGCAGAGCATAGAGAGCCCATTGAGCAACTTTGTGTTTAACTAACAAACAACAACCAATGTACTTGTTTAATTAAAGTCTTTCTTTTCTGTGAATTTGTTATAGACAAAATCTTTCCCGGGATTCAATGCATGAAGTATAGTCATATTATTTGTATGTGTATATTTTTTTTTCAAGCTTAAATACTTAAGTGTTCAAGCATCCAAGCATTATGGTGGATACAATGAGACAACTGAAATTTCCTATTCTACTCAAAAGGCTAAAAATGACCACGGTTGTAGGATGTGTAAGAGACCACCAGAATGTTGGCAAATTTTTGGAATGTTTGCTATTTTTCATCTGTTCCACAGGATAAATAGGTTTTTATGTTCTCCGACGTACATCGGCCAGAAAGAGCAAACCGCAGTGCGTTTGCTATAGTTAGCTCTGTGTTTCCAATTTTGAAGCAACTTAAAAGGGGATGACTTCAGTGTCGGAAGTTCTCGACGTCATCCCACCGAATTATTGGCATGGTTTTTCCGCCTTCGGAGATGCTGTTGTATCTAACTATAAACTTGATAAACACGCCAAGCTATCCACAGCAACCTAATAAAGGCTATTAAGTTCAGAATGGTTCTGATTTATAACCTTTCTTTTATCAAGATATAAATATTTTTCTTTAGATATTTCATTTTTTACAATAAATCGTGATGTTTCTGATTTTGAAGTGAATTAAATGGAGAAGTAAACCAGAAACACAAATTATGAGCTTCAATGTTTAGTTAAAAACACTCAACTTTTTGCCATATATATATATATATATATATATATATATACATATTTTATGTTCAAATTATATACTTAGATAAATAAAATAATAGACAGTCAATAGATTGTACACATGATTATAAGACATACTAGCCACATTTACGTAAGAACAAAAATTAAAATTATTATCCAATTTCTTCAGGTAAAACTGACATTATGGTAGAATGTACAATTTTAGGATTACATACATATAGAGCTAGAAATACAATGTGCTATAATTTTCATAATCAAATCATTATTTATGAAATTGAATGCTTTCAAAGTTAATTACAAATAAATATACCAACATATAGTGTACAACATATAGTGTATATGTTGTAAAAGCCTTGTCATTGCTGTTCCAGTAAAGGATCATGGTTGTATTTCGTGTTAACTTGATAATTTTTGACATTGGATGAAGCAAGGTGCGATTTTGACTTCAAAAAACAGCTGGTGTTTTGTGGATTGTTTTATTTGTTTAAGTAAATATACCATTAAGTTATCTTATTAACACTTAGATATTCATATCACATTATCTATTTGATATCAAATTAGAAGTCAAATTCCGGCAAAGAAAAATAAATAATGAATTAATTAAGCTTTCAGATTTTATTCTAAAAATGTGTGTTAAATTTTTAACAGATGATGAAAAAATTAATGAGTTTAGAATACCACTCACCATAAAATAAAAATGGTTATTTGCCTAAGTTTTATGGAACGCAAGTTCTAGCACATCAGAAGTATTTGATAATATACTGTTTAAAAAAACTGACATATATAATTTGTTATGGAATAATCTGTCTACTAAGGCTAGAATATTGAGTGAAATTTTTTATCAGACCTAACTAAGAGAAATGGGATAAAAATCTGAATACTTATTTGATTTCCTCACTAGGAACCTGGTTCACCTTATATTTTGGGTTATTGTAATGACATGGCCCTCTATTCCTCTCCATCCATGCCAAACATAACATTGGGACGTCCACCTGTACCAACCAGTAGTACTATAGTAAGTTTTGTATTTTTATATTTGTAATTTAGTTATCATGCTTTTCCTATCAGCTGTTTTGGTTTTATGTTTGCTATTGAAAAAAGTTTAATTTTAAGCAAAAATATATAATATTATTGTATTCTCTGTGACAGATGTTAGTTACTGATGAAGTAGATCTGTGTTCTTTACAAACAATATTAACCGTTTTCGTGTCACGTGCAGGACACGTGGTAAAAGTTGTGTTGGAGATATCCTTGATTTTAGTTCTTACCCAGGTTGTCGTAACTCAATGTTGCTGACTCATTTACTTGAACTTTATATTTTTTAAAGTTTCATACAGGGGTTAATGTTTTTGTAATAATATTAATAACTATTACAATAATTGCTATACCTATTTTGTCAAAACAAACAAATAATGTTTTAAGCTTGCCCAGCATTATACTTTCAGAATCATCGCAGAACCGAAGGAGACAATGTTTTCTTTACAGTATTGTTACTCCTCCAGTCGTTACTTAATTTTCCGTAAATTCGTTCCGACGAAACTTTAG